AGTTTACCATGGGGGTGCAGTTTACCATGGGAGTCCAGTTCACCATGGGAGGCCAGTTTACCATGGGAGTCCAGTTTACCGTAGGAGTCCAGTTCACCATGGAAGTCCAGTTCACCATGGGAGTCCAGTTTACCATGGGAGTCCAGTTCACCATGGGAGTCCAGTTTACCATGGGAGTCCAGTTCACCATGGAAGTCCAGTTCACCATGGGAGTCCAGTTTACCATGGGAGTCCAGTTCACCGTGGAAGTCCAGTTCACCATGGGAGTCCAGTTCACCATGGGAATCCAGTTTACCATGGGAGTCCAGTTTACCGTAGGAGTCCAGTTCACCATGGGAGTCCAGTTTACCATTGGAGTCCAGTTCACCATGGAAGTCCAGTTCACCATGGAAGTCCAGTTCACCATGGGAGTCCAGTTCACCATGGGAGTCCAGTTCACCATGGAAGTCCAGTTCACCATGGGAGTCCAGTTTACCATGGGAGTCCAGTTCACCATGGGAGTCCAGTTCACCATGGGAGTCCAGTTTACCATGGGAGTCCAGTTCACCGTGGAAGTCCAGTTCACCATGGGAGTCCAGTTCACCATGGGAATCCAGTTTACCATGGGAGTCCAGTTCACCATGGGAGTCCAGTTTACCATGGGAGTCCAGTTCACCATGGGAGTCCAGTTTACCATGGGAGTCCAGTTCATCATGGGAGTCCAGTTCACCATGGGAGTCCAGTTCACCATGGGAGTCCAGTTTACCATGGGAGTCCAGTTCACCATGGAAGTCCAGTTCACCATGGAAGTCCAGTTCACCATGGGAGTCCAGTTCACCATGGGAGTCCAGTTTACCATGGGAGTCCAGTTCACCATGGAAGTCCAGTTTACCATGGAAGTCCAGTTCACCATGGGAGTCCAGTTTACCATGGGAGTCCAGTTCACCATGGAAGTCCAGTTCACCATGGGAGTCCAGTTCACCAAGGGAGTCCAGTTTACCATGGGTGTCTAGTTCACCATGGAAGTCCAGTTCACCATGGGAGTCCAGTTCACCATGGAAGTCCAGTTCACCATGGGAGTCCAGTTCACCATGGAAGTCCAGTTTACCATGGGTGTCTAGTTCACCATGGAAGTCCAGTTTACCATGGGAGTCCAGTTCACCATGGAAGTCCAGTTTACCATGGGAGTCCAGTTCACCATGGAAGTCCAGTTTACCATGGGTGTCTAGTTCACCATGGAAGTCCAGTTTACCATGGGTGTCTAGTTCACCATGGAAGTCCAGTTTACCATGGGAGTCCAGTTCACCATGGGAGTTCAGTTCACCATGGGAGTCCAGTTCACCATGGAAGTCCAGTTCACCATGGAAGTCCAGTTCACCATGAGAGTCCAGTTCACCATGGAAGTCCAGTTTACCATGAGAGTTCAGTTCACCATGGAAGTCCAGTTTACCATGGGAGTCCAGTTTACCGTAGGAGTCCAGTTCACCATGGAAGTCCAGTTCACCATGGGAGTCCAGTTCACCATGGAAGTCCAGTTTACCATGAGAGTCCAGTTCACCATGGAAGTCCAGTTTACCATGGGAGTCCAGTTTACCGTAGGAGTCCAGTTCACCATGGAAGTCCAGTTTACCGTGGGAGTCCAGTTCACCATGGAAGTCCAGTTCACCGTGGGAGTCCAGTTTACCATGGAAGTCCAGTTCACCACGGAAGTTCAGTTCACCATGGAAGTCCAGTTTACCATGGAAGTCCAGTTCACCATGGTAGTCCAGTTCACCATGGGAGTCCAGTTCACCATGAGAGTGCAGTTCACCATGGAAGTCCAGTTCACCATGAGAGTCCAGTTCACCATGGAAGTCCAGTTTACCATGGGAGTCCAGTTTACCATGGAAGTCCAGTTTACCATGGGAGTCCAGTTCACCATGGAAGTCCAGTTTACCATGGAAGTCCAGTTTACCACGGAAGTCCAGTTCACCATGGGAGTCCAGTTCACCATGGAAGTCCAGTTTACCACGGAAGCCCAGTTCACCATGGGAGTCCAGTTCACCACGGAAGTCCAGTTCACCATGGGAGTCCAGTTCACCATGGAAGTCCAGTTCACCACGGAAGTCCAGTTCACCATGGAAGTCCAGTTTACCATGGAAGTCCAGTTTACCACGGAAGTCCAGTTCACCATGGAAGTCCAGTTCACCATGGGAGTCCAGTTCACCATGGAAGTCCAGTTCACCATGGAAGTCCAGTTTACCACGGAAGTCCAGTTCACCATGGGAGTCCAGTTCACCATGGCAGTCCAGTTCACCATGGAAGTCCAGTTTACCACGGAAGTCCAGTTCACCATGGGAGTCCAGTTCACCATGGTAGTCCAGTTCACCATGGAAGTCCAGTTTACCACGGAAGTCCAGTTCACCATGGTAGTCCAGTTCACCATGGAAGTCCAGTTTACCACGGAAGTCCAGTTCACCATGGGAGTCCAGTTCACCATGGTAGTCCAGTTCACCATGGAAGTCCAGTTTACCACGGAAGTCCAGTTCACCATGGGAGTCCAGTTCACCATGGAAGTCCAGTTTACCACGGAAGTCCAGTTCACCATGGGGGTTCAGTTCACCATGGAAGTCCAGTTCACCATGGGAGTCCAGTTCACCGTGGAAGTTTAGTTCACCATGGGAGTCCAGTTTACCACGGAAGTCCAGTTCACCGTGGAAGTCCATTTTACCACGGGACTATTTCCTGAAGTTAATTATTAAGAACCACCGCCGTCTCGTATTCACCAACTTGCATTGCGGCTCTTTTGAAATAATTCACCTGAAGACGGAGGCTTGTGTTGCCTCCGAAACGTCGTGATTTTTATTTTATTTGTATTTAATAAATTGTCATTTTAATGTTTTACCTACGTGACTTTACCGAAAAAACCTAAGAATATCTTTTGAAATATTTAGGGGTTTTTTTTGTTACCGAATTTCTTTTTTAAATGTCCCTTCTTGTTGGTCCGCTCCAGAGGGTCCCTCTCCAGCGCTCTCTCTAGAATTAGCCCTTCTGCCAGCAAGTGGCGTGAGTGAGGAATTGCAGTGCTGCTCCTTTACCTCTCCCACCCCATAGGAGACAAGAAAAAACCCCGGGGAAAATTCCGACATCGCACCGCCGCTGATCTTAGCCGTGGCCAGGAATCGCACTCAGGTTTGTAGGGAAACACACTGCACAAAGACAAAAAAACGTATAGCCTCAACAGACTGTTGGGGAAAGTGCTGTTAGCGAGCACCTATGAAGGCCGGAACGCCACACGAGAGAGTGGGTTGGCCAGCACCACGCCCGGCCGCCTTTGTCTCCCCAATGGCGATGTTTACCCACCCCACCAAGTACTCAATTGAGGCTGAGTGAAGCTAGGGGGAGGCCCAGGACCACTTCAGATAATCGTCACCGGTGCTGGCCGCGAGCACAATTCGAACTCGGGCCCTCGGGATCTGTAGCGCAGCTCGCTGACCGCTGCACCACCGCTCCCCACACCATCCCCGTCTATGAAACTTTGTACCCAGATGAAGCGTGTCTGCCTTCAGCCCCTTTTTGTTCAATGAGTCGTCTTGAGATGACACACCAGCTGACGTGTAATATGGAGTTGCTCATGCCAGCAAGATCTGGCAAGCCAACGGGCTGCTCGGAATTGCCAGATCGCACTGATCGTGACCCGCTACGAACCCGGCGACCCGAATTCGATTCCCGGCCAAGGTCAACACCAGTGACGATGACCTGAAGCGGTCCTGAGCCTCCTACTCCCCTAGGTAGACTCAGCCTCAAATGAGTACCTGGTGCGGTGTGTAAGCATCACCACTGGGGAGACAAAGACGGTCGGGCGTGGTGCTGGGCACCCACACCCTCGTGTGCCGTGCCGGCCTTCACAAGTGCTACTCGCTAACAGCACTTGCCCCAGCAGTCTGTTACAGGCTACACGGGGGATCTTTGTCTTTGGTGTAAGAGTGATGATGACCACCCACACCCTCGTATACCGTGCCGGCCTTCACAAGTGCTACTCGCTAACAGCACTTGCCCCAACAGTCTGTTACAGGCTACACGGGGGGGGGGGAGCTTTGTCTTTGTGTTCTTAAAAGGAAAAAGAAAACATTGGCGACGTTTTGGTAAATGAGTCATCTTCATTGCACGTGATATGTTAGCATAGATTGCCTTTTCTCTCTTCGTGTGAGTGTTGGACAGCTCCCGGGCGCGATCACGACACACACCCATTGCCCCCGGGCAGTGCCGGACGACGCGAGTGCTGGGCTTGCAGCATATGCTAGAAAGGGTCCCTAAATTAAAAACAAACACGTAAATATGAAAAACGCACATGTTTAACTTGCATAGTGAAGTAATTGTATTTTTCCATTTGCTATACAGCCTGATAATACGACACATCGCTGACCTTCAACACCCACTCGTTCATAAAAGTTGAAGGCGGTATAGTACTATAGTAATAGAGCAAGTGCAAAATCACTGAACCGGAATTGATAGCTTGAAAGCATTTAGCGCGGGGCCCTTGAAAGTGCGAGGCCCGTAGCTACTACATGTGCAGCTACTTTTGCTACTTGGATAATCCGGCAATGGTAGCAGCTATCGCTCTCACATCTTCTTCGAACGCTGGGGAGCCGGACAAGCCCCTCTCTGTACCAGCGTGGACGGCACCTTCGTGGTGTTCACCTTCTGAAGTGCTCGCTCATCACCGTGGCGTGCGCGATGACCACCACCACCACCACGTGACTTTTCTTTCGTGTTGTGCGCGGTGCATTTAACGCCACAGCGCGTGGATTCGTAGCGTTTATTTTCTTTTGTTTGCTGGTGACTTTGTGTATTTGATATCGAAATCGCCTCCAGTGCTGTTGCTGCTGGCGGCAATAAAAAGTTGTTTAAAAGTCAAAAGTCTCTCTTCCGTCTCCCCGGGAACCATCTCAACACGCCCCTCACCACTCCCTGCCCTGCGGCCAGCCCACCCCCCTCACCTGCCCTTCACCTCCCCCACACCGCCCCGCCCTCACCCACCCCCCCGACTCCCCTGGGCTCACCTGGTCCACGCACACTCTACACCTGTACACCCGGCTGCAGGCTAACAGCACAGGTACGGAGTCGCTCGCGCTCTCTCTCTCTCTCTGGACGCAGCCTGCTTTGCCACACTGCTCTACAGACCCGTGCAGTGTGTCTCTGTGTATGTATGTTGACGTACTGTCGCGCCGTGAGTAGCCATACTATGGGTCTCTGTGTGAGTCTGTGGGTCTCTGTGTGATTCTATGGGTCTCGGTGTGAGTCTATGGGTCTCTGTGTGAGTCTGTGGGTCTCGGTGTGAGTCTATGAGTCTCTGTGTGAGTCTATGGGTCTCTGTGTGAGTCTATGGGTATCTGTGTGAGTCTATGGGTCTCGGTGTGAGTCTATGGGTCTCTGTGTGAGTCAATGGGTATCTGTGAGTCTATGGGTCTCGGTGTGAGTCTGTGGGTCTCTGTGTGAGTCTATGGGTATCTGCGTGAGTCTATGGGTCTCTGTGTGAGTCAATGGGTATCTGTGAGTCTATGGGTCTCGGTGTGAGTCTGTGGGTCTCTGTGTGAGTCTATGGGTATCTGCGTGAGTCTATGGGTCTCGGTGTGAGTCTATGGGTCTCTGTGTGAGTCAATGGGTATCTGTGAGTCTATGGGTCTCGGTGTGAGTCTATGGGTCTCTGTGTGAGTCTATGGGTCTCTGTGTGAGTATATGGGTCTCTGTGTGAGTCTATGTATCTCTGTGTCAGTCTATGGGTCTCTGTGTGAGTCTATGGGTCACGATGAGAGTCTATGGCTCTCTGTGTGAGTCTATGTGTCTCTGTGTGCGTCTCTGGGTCTCTGTGTGAGTCTATGGGTCTCTGTGTGAGTCTGTGGGTCTCGGTGTGAGTCTATGAGTCTCTGTGTGAGTCTATGGGTCTCTGTGTGAGTCTATGGGTCTCTGTGTGAGTCTATGGGTATATGTGTGAGTCTATGGGTCTCTGTGTGAGTCTATGGGTCTCGGTGTGAGTCTATGAGTCTCTGTGTGAGCCTATGGGTCTCTGTGTGAGTCTATGGGTCTCTGTGTGAGTCTATGGGTCTCTGTGTGAGTCTATGGGTCTCTGTGTGAGTTTGTGTGTCACTGTGTGAGTCTGTGTGTCTCTGTGTGAGTCTATGGGTCTCTGTGTGAGTCTGTGTGTCTCTGTGTGAGTCTATTGGTCTCTGTATGAGTCTGTAGGTCTCTGTGTGAGTCTGTGTGTCACTGTGTGAGTCTGTGGGTCTCTGTGTGTCACGGTGTGAGTCTATGCGTGTATGTTGAGCTTCCTTCGCACCGTACGTAGCCAACGGTGCTCACCCGAGGTGCAGGGGAAGGACAACAACAGTAAACACCAACGAAACTCTTCTAAAGAAGTGAGCTTTCAATCATGATGTAAAAGCGGCTTCGTAATATTGTAAGGAAGAGCGTTCCAGATGGTCGTTATCTGTTGACGAGTAGGAGAACGGTATCTCCCCCACCTGCAATGTATGAGACGCGTGGGCTCAATCAAGGACCCTGGCGATGCCTGTTGGTGTACGTTTGGAGTCCGCGTGTTCTCTGTCTCTCGCTCTCTCTCTCTCCGTGGTGGTCGCGTGGATTTTTCTCCAGGCTCCTCCGGTGTTGCTCTCCTCTTCCACCCTCCCCCACCCCACCACCACTCACCCATGCACATTCAGAAACAACACGCGCTTAGATTATCTAGATTCTGCAAATAAATTCCCAAGTGTGGTGGTGGTGGAGATGATGATGATGATAATGACGATGATGATCTCAGCCATTGTCGATGAGCAGCTATCGATGTGACATCGTGATAAGGTCACCTCTGAAAAAGAGCTCGCTTAGCTCGGTGGGTTTGTATATCAGTGCGCCGTGCCGGCCTTCACAGGTGCTGCCCGCTAACGGCACTTGCCCCAACATTATGTTGAAGGCTACACGGGGGATCTTTGTCTTTGTGTGTCGTGTGGCTGCGCGTGTGTGATGCTGTCAGCGGGGAGCGGTGGTGCAGCGGTTAGCGCTACGCTGCGCTACGAACCCGGCGACCCGAGTTCGATTCCCGCTCACGGCCACCACCGGTGACGATTATCTGAACCGGTCCGGGGCCTCCCCTATATCGACTCAACCTTAAATGAGTACCTGGTGCGGTGTGTAAACATCGCCACTGGGGAGACAAAGGCGGTCGGGCGTGGTGCTGGCCACCCACCCCCTCGTGTACCGTTCCAGGCCTTGAAAGGTGCTTGCTAACATCACTTGTCCCAACAGTCTGTTGAGGCTATACGGGGGATCTTTGTCTTTGTGTTGCACTCAGCACTGGGCGACTTGTGTGTCGTCGCAAAGGCGAGCGTGCCCCGACAGTCCGGATTAATATTTAAAGACGCCACTGACGTTTCCCCATTGTGTCACCATCAGCCGCCGTGGCGGTTACAGTGGTGGTGGTGCGAGCGTGGTGCTGGCCACCCACCCCCTCGTGTGCCGTGCCGGCCCTCACAGGTGCTGCTCGCTAACTGCACTTGCCCCAACGTTCTGTACAGGCTATACGGGGGATCTTTGTCTTTGGTGCGAGCGTGGTGATGACCACCCACCCCCTCGTGTGCCGTGCCGGCCTTCACAGGTGCTGCTCGCTAACAGCACTTGCCCCAACGTTCTGTACAGGCTATACGGCTGATATTTGTCTTTGGTGTAAAAGTAGTGATGACCACCCACCCCCTCGTGTGCCGTGCCGGCCTTCACAGGTGCTGCTCGCTAACAGCACTTGCCCCAAAAAGTATGTTCAGGCTTTACGGGGGATCTTTGTCTCTAGTGTGGAGAATCGCTTATGCTGCTGCTGTTGTGTTGTTGCTGCTGCTGTTGTTGTTACTGTTGCTACTGTTGTGTTGTTGCTGCTGCTGTTGTTGTTGCTGCTGCTACTGTTGTTGTTGTTGCTATTGTTGTTGCCTGCGTTCCAAGAGCAGGCAACAATCAACGAACACCTTTGGGAAGAAGAGCTTGTGTACTCATCCATAATAGAGGGTTTTTTGGGGGTTAGAGCGTGTAAAGATATAAATGTGTCGTTAAACTCGCCACCACCCGACACGGCCAATCGGTAAGGTTTGTCACGTAGACCGAACGTGCCCATTCGTTACGCCGGATAGCAACTCCACAACATTTACAATTGGAAGTATCGGGTGGTGGCGGGTTTAACGACACATTTATATATTTACACGATCTAACCCCCATAAAAACCTCCATATTTCGGCTGATATTGGTCGCGAAAGTCTGCCACGTGTTAAATTGTGTACTCAGTAATTTTAACTTCCATCGATGCTGATGCACCCTGAGACTTTGTCCTGTCCCCTGGAGTTCCCCACCCGGTTAAGCTGAACGTTTAAACGATTTAAACTCGAGTGAACACAATCTGCATAGTAACTCGGTGGCAACATCACCTGAGCACGTGGCATCACTTGCCGGCGATTTTAGCCGTGGCCGGGAGTTGAACTCGGCTCGCCTGGACTTTTGACCCCCCATGTGCCTTCTAGTTTTGTACGGCTGCTGATGTAGACGCAAAGACAGCAAACACGATCTCACTTCAGCTGGTTGTCAAGCTCAGATACAACGGCGTTAGGAGTAGTGGATTCTTGTATCGTGCCCGCGTGATGTCTCGTGCATTGGCAGTGATGCACAGACACAATTAACATCATCAACAACAACACATCTGTGAAGGACAACGCCGTGTTTGTGTGTGTTTGTTCGGCCCTAGGTCGACTCAGCCTCAAATGAGTACCTGGAGCGGTGTATAAACATCGCCACTGGGGAGACAAAGGCGACAGTCGGGCGTGGTGCTGGCCAACCCACCCCTTCGTGTACCGTTCCGGCTCGCTAACAGCACTTTCCCCAACAGCCTGCTAAGGCTTTACGGGTCATCTTTGTCTTTGCGGCCCTAATAGGGGGTAGAGTGCGTATGTTCAATAAACGAATTTTCAGTATCACAAACTTTGTTTTATAACCATTATTTTACACAGCAAGGTAAAAAGTAAAGTTAGATAAAAAAAAATTGCCTTAAACGATTTAGAATAATATGTAAATAAGAATAGAATAAAATAAAATAATAAGATATAGATTCAGAAGAACTCTGTTCATTTGATTAACGTCAGTTTTAATTTGAATACTTTACAGTCTAAAATGTAATATTATTTAAATTATAAATTGTCTTTGTTTACAATATGAATGGCAAACTACGCAGTAGTATGGTATGCAATGGTACGTTACAACAGCTGGGAACGCATCCCCACAGTACTGATGTTAGAAGTTACTCGATATACGACGCTTCAATGTACGAACGAAGCTTCAATACAGTCGCGGAAAGCTTTCCAAGTGGCCAACGTGGCACAAAGAGAGAGAGAGAGGTGGCGGGTGTATGTCTGGCTGTTGAACCAGAACTAGTGAGGTCTGAGGTTCAAGTATTGCGGGGGGTGGGAGTGTGTGGGGGGGGGGGGGTCAGAGACGCCGATCGTTTGAAGAAGAGAAGGGAGCGAACGGCACGGCGCCTCGTCGTTGTAAATTATTCAACTGCGGCACGGAGATGGAAAACTTTTAATGAGAGATGACAGATTCCTTCAGCGTAGAGGTGCGGGGGGGGGGGTACGGAAGGGGGGGTCGTGGAGGGGGTCTTTGGGTGGTATCGTGGGGGGGGGGGTCCCAACATCCTGGGAGGGTTTTCAGTCTCAACCTTTTGTTATTTTTGGCTTGGCCATCGAGCAAAGGCGGCGGTCACCGCGCTGCGCTCCGGGATAAGCTTAATTAATTTTTTTTATTGTAGTTTGGTGGTAGTTAATTGAAGGTGGAGGAGTTACCAACCTCTGGCACCCGTCCAGAGCCCCCATTTGGCCGCTGTGGTGGTTACAACCGCCATGAAGGGAAAGGCCAATCTAAGTTGGCCCTCCCCCCACGGCACTGCCCACCACAGCGTTGCCGTCCGGCACCACGAGGAGGTAGGGGGTTGTTTTTGCCGGACACAAACACATATACAAAGATACACATACATACACACATACACACACATACACACACATACACACATTACTTTCATCCGGCCGGCGC